CTGAGTTTGGAAACAGGCACACGATCGCGGTTTTGCCCGCCTCGGCTGGAACCCACTGTCCCCACCCTCCCGAGAGAGACCGGTGTCACCCACAGGTCAGGAAGGTCACAAGCACAGGTTTGGGGGCCTTTGCTGGAGGAATGTCCACTCCACCTGTCCGCACTGGACCCTGAGTCGTACGAGGGGAGGGGACATTCCTGTTCAGGCCCGGAGGAGGCCGCTGAGCTCCCGACCCCAGGTTGCTTCCAGTCCCTGGGTGCCGCCAGGAGCCCCCGCCCAGTCCCCATGGGAGGCAGCAAACTGGGGCACCCTGTGCAGCTCTGGCTCCCGAGGGGGCTTGCCCTAGAGCCGCCCCACTCACACTTCCCGAGAGCTCACACCGGGGCTCCTGGCCGCCCCCCTTGCGGACGGGGCAGTGAGGAAAACAAGACAGTGGTGGCGGTTTGCCGCACTTCAGCTTCGTCAGATCGGAACCCTGGCTCTTTGTTCTTCCGGGGCCCACAGCGGGGGCGGAAGGCCCCTCCCCAGCGGGCAGGGGCGCTGACGCTCAGGCCCACCCGCGTCCCTGGGACCTGGCTCCTGGCCACAGCCTCGACCCTCCTGGGAGACCCAGTTCCTGTTGCTACGTGGGTTATTACGACGTCAATATATCAAAGACCATTTCTCTTCTCCCGGCTCATAACATTCCACAAGTGGGGCAATTATTAGCAAACAATCCTATTTCCATTTCGGCGGGGTTCTGCGGAGCTGCTGGGCTGTTTCTGAAGGCAGTTGGGGGGGGGCAGAACTGGGGGGAGGGGCACGCAGGGCGGCTGCGGTGCCTCAGTGTCTGCAGCTGACACTCTCGGGTGACCTGTTTGGGGCCGAGGACACTGGCATGGCCAGGCTTCGGCTCACGGCGGCTCCCTGTCGTGAAACGGGATGGAAAGAGCCCGTGGGAGCTGGGTGTGTGTGAGACGCACGTTCTGTGGATTTCTTTACCAAATGGGTGGGAAGAGCTCGTGAAAAGTGACAGGCACGGGGTCCCTCCTGCTCGGTCTCCGAGCTCTTAAATCCGTCACGTGGCTAAAAACCAGCCAACCGAACAACCAAACACACCCTGCCCTCAGCACCACGGTAACAGAGCAGGGGCGTCAGGCGTGTGTCCGGTCCCGGGGTCACCTGCAGGGGGGCACAGGCGGGTCCTGGCCCGGGCGCACACTGCGATCGCCTTGTTCATGGTCACGAAGGGTAGACTCAGAGGTCGATGGGTTTGTCCCCATTTTACAGCCAAGAAACCTGAGGCCCAGATGCAGTTTCCAACAGGGACTCCGCCCTGGGCGCCCCAGGAGCAGCTGACACACGAAATGACGGCCCGGCACCACCACGGAGGAGAAAGGAGCCACCAGGACAACCAGAACCAGAGCCGCCTGCGTTCTCTCGGGCCCCGGCTGCCCTCGGCTACGCATGCAGCCCCAACGGGAAGGCCAGAGTGGGGCCGGGGCGTCGGTGCCTCTGCAGAGGCCGCCCCCGGCCCCCTCGCTCCTGTGGGGCCAGCCCTGGGTGAGCCTGCCCTGGGGAGCAGGCACGGCCCCCTCAGCCCCGGCCGCCGGGCCCTGATGGAAGCACAGAGAGGTCCCTGTCCCCTGACTGTCAAGTCTACTGCCCAGAACTCGGGGCACCCATGCCACGGACCCTGCAGAGCCTCCAGCTCAGGGCTCCACCTGCCTCTCCTTCACCTGCTCCCACCTGCGTCTTTCGCACAGTGCTGGGGAGAGACCCACACACCTGGACCGGGCAGGAGGGTGAGTGGGGACGCGATGCACCCGGTGCCGGCTCCCTGCCAGCAGCTGCAGAGCTCCAGGCACTCGGAGCCCAGCCAGGAGCCCCTGAGCTGGTCCCCATCCACCTACCAGTGCCAGCGGCGCTGAGGCCCTGCCGAGGGGCTCCCCAGATGGAGCCTGTCCGGGCTGCTGAGGCTGGGCGGTGGGGGGAGGGGTATCTGGAGCGCCTCGTGGGGGCGGGGCCGGGGAGGGCTCTTCCCTCTGTCCTCGTGAGGTACTACAGCCAGATCCTCAGAGGGGCTTCCCAGCCCAGGCCCCTCCTAGAGACCCCCACTCTCTCTCTTGTCAGGGAATCACGTCCGGACACCTCGGAGCCCGGGAGGTTCCATTAGAAGAACCAGACCCCAAGGTGGGAGGCTACGCCCAGGGCGAGGTCCAGAGAGGAGGCTCGACTTTCTTGCCGGCAAACCCTCGGCGGGGTCCGGCCCCGCAGCCGAGGGAACCGCATCCCCACGCGTGGTACACGCACCGGGATGGGCGAGGTCTGGAGGAAAGGGCCCGCCTAACACAGCCCTGTAATAGAAAACCCCCGCCTCCCCCGTCCCCCTCTGACGCAGGGTTGGGACTCCCGAAAACTCTTCTCTAAGTGCCCTTGACGTTGCTGTTCCTCAAGGAGATGGAGCCAACCCACTGGGCTCCAGCTGGACCATTTCGAGGGGCAGTGTGACCCCTGGAGGCTTAGAGGCTGATGGCGAAGCGCCCAGTCACCTTGGGTTGTGGCACTTTGGGGACAATGAGTGTCTATGGCCCCCGTCACTGGGCTTTTCCTCCCTTCCTTGGTTTGAAGCTCTGAATTTAGTGAACTGACCTTGACCTGAAGGCACCAGGGGTCCACTTTCCGGCGGCTCTGAACACGCAGCTGAGAGGCTTGGAGTCACTCCGCTCACCGGCCTGGAAGGAACCCGCACACCGCAGTGAACCTTCCAGAAGGCTGGTGATGTAGGAAAGCCTACAGCTCAGACGGGGCGGGGGGTGGGGGCGTGCGGCATTCTGCCCCCAACGGCCCAGCCGGACGCGGCCTGCGCCTGGGTTTGGACCGCTTCCGCTCTTCGCCTCTAACGTAGGAAGCGGACGGCACACGCGGGGAGAAAGCCCCCGGGAAGCTGAGCGCCGCTCCCTCGCCAGCCCTGGAGGACCGCTGTCCCCCCATCTCCGTTCTCCCAGTCTCCCCCTGAAGCCCCCATCCTCCCCTTCCCTCCACGGGTGCCTCCCCTCCCCTCGTCCTTCTGTCCCGAGTCTCTGCCTGGTCGGAGAGCCTTTTCTATGACGTGTTTCCGGTGACCTCCTGGAATGGCAGCCTTGACCTCGTTGGTCTCGGAGACGCAGCGGAAGCCGCTGCATCTTCTGGAAAATGCTCTCATCCCTCACGTAGTCCTGCTCCCCGCGCACACTTCCTGGGCCACAGTTTGGGCCCCTGATAAGAAAGCGTACAATTTGGTGGAGGAGGGAGGCCCGTGGCGGGGCAAACTCCAAGAAAACCCATGTAGAGAGCTGGTATCATGCGGCTAAGCGTGACCGTTTTCACAGAGAGCGCTGGGCCCCGTGGGGCACGAGTGTGCCCGGGGGTGTGTTTGGGCCTGGGCAGAACGGAGCCCAGGGGCAAAGGGGGTCTTGGGTCCCAGGGTGGGACCTCAGTTCTTCCCGTGGGGGTCTGTCTTTTGTCCCCCACTGTGGCCGTGCGTGGCCAAGCATCTGGTTTGTGCTTGGGTGTGGGCGGCTCACTGGGCCTGGTCCCCTGCTGCGGGGACCCCGGGCAGCCACTGCGCAGGCAGACTGGCTCCGGAGCAGGTGCTGGGGCCGCCCATCGGTGAGTTTCGGTGAGAGGGTTCTGTGCTGTTTTCCTTTGAATCACCGCAGGCAAAGGCCACGTCAGCTCCCGGGCCTCTGGGGGACCCTCCAGGGCAGCGCCGGGTGGGGCCAGACCTCCCTTCACCAGGTCTTCCCGAGTAGCTGCATGGGGTTTAGGTGCGTCTGTGCACACGTGTGCGTGTGTGTTCACATGTGTGCAGTGGGGGCTGGGCCCCAGATGCGTGCAGGGGGCCTGGGGTGGTGCCGGCCCCAGGGGAGTGACCCAGGGAGGCCGAGCTCCATCGAGGCCCCTCCTGGGGGCAGCGGGGCGTGGGCACTTCGGTCAGCTGGCCTTCCCGGAGCTCCTGCCCTCCGGTGGGCCAGGGAGGAGGAGGAGGGACAGGGGCGGGGGCCCGGGCCTCCACAACCCTGCCGGGGACGCCCCTCCCCGGAGTCCGTCCTGTCTGGGAGTGGGTGGTGTCGGTGCGGCCTCGGGTCCTTGCACGGCTGCATCCAGCAGGCCCAGGTACAAGGCGCCCCCGAGACACATGCTTCCAGTGGCCCAGGTGGTGACCTGGTGACGTGCCATTCCCTAGTGGAAGCCCTCCTCTCGGGGCCACCACAGTCCCCTGGTGCCAGCAGGTGGGCGTGGGGCTCCCAGCCCCGTGGAGTCGAGTCTGAACCATCCCGGACCACCCGGAGCAGCCGTGGGCTCCTGCCGGCCCCGGCGGACGGTGGCCCTGCTGGGTTTCCAGGCCAGGGCTCCATCCCCGACCTACCCACGCACACGGGCACGGCCCCCGCAGCCTCCCGTGGCTGTGCGCAGGCGCCAGGGGCTGGACGGCCACGTGCGCACACATGCTGGACAGACAGTGACCCGTCTGGAGAAGGGGGCAGGGGTGGCATAAATGTCACCTCTGGGCAGAGTCCCACCTGGGCTGAGGCAGTAGGGGACGCTTATGGACCTGGCCTTCGCCAACGCTGACCCTGGAGGGCAGAGGTGGGACATGGGAGGGGCTTGTCCGATCCCAGGAGCAGGAAAAGGCTGTGGGGGGCGGGGTGGGGCTGAGGCCGACCTCCCAAGCTTGATGCAGCAGAGGTGGAAGTTTCTAGAAAGCTCTCTGATCACGTGGGGCACAAAATGCCTCACACCCTTTCTTGTTCCTTTTAAAGCCAAGCGACAGGCACGCCAGCGGCCCGTCCGCCTCTCTTGGGTCGTCCCCAGGCTGCAGAATCGAGGAGAGAACAGACGAGGCCCAGGGCTGCTCGGTCTTTATTGGTCCCGGGGGGGGGGGGGGGGAGGGGAGGGTACACAGCCACGTTGCAGTCACTGAGCTTGTTAAAAAATATCTCAATAAATAAAACAAATAAGCAACATATACACTGAAACGGAAATATAAAAAATGGTTAACTGAGCGCATCGTGGAGAAAGCAAAGGAAGCAGAGGGCGCAGAATCGGCCCAGACTTACTGAAAATAAGCATGCGGGGGTGGGGGGGGTGGGGGGGTCCTTCTTTGAGAGCCTTGGTCCAGTTTAAACAGAAGGTACAGGAAAGCATCTCTGTTTTATTAAAAAAATATACATTAAAAATGCATTTAGAGGGAAATACAAATCCAAATACTCGTCAATGTGTTCTTGAATCTAGAGGTTTTCCAGAAAGAAATACCCCCTCCCCCCCAATAAAACCCCGAAGAAAAATCCAAACAGTGGCGAAGATAACAATGAGCATGTCACCGGTGAGAGGGACCGTGAGTGCCACCTCCTCCGTGGGGACCGTCTCTGGGGGAGGAGGCTGCCGGGCCTGGTCTCCGTCCGTCCATCGTCACCGCTGTCCCCTGGTCCAGGGCTCTTGCCGCAGAGAAGATCGAGGGGCCTCCTTGAGGTCTTTCGGGTTTCAGAAGTCACAGCCATGGACGCGTCCCTGTTCCTCGTGCCCCTCAGCCCCACGGCAGCGTCTGGAAGACAAGGAGGGTCAGTGAGACTCCACCCCCCCCCGGGGCATCCGAGGTGCGTGGGGGCACAGGGGTGCAGGCGTGTTTTTGAAACAGTGACGGCAATGTGTGTGTCAGTGTGAGCAGGCCGGTGTGTGTCTGCATGTCAGTGTGTCTGTCCACCTGAGTGCGTCTCAGCGTGAGCGTGCGACCCCGAGGCTGCTCAGCGGGTGGCTACAGGTCCTCCCACAGGACCCCCAGCTGCACACCAACACCCTGATTCTCAGGGTGTCGACTTGAGACAAAGATCTGAAGAGGCTGAGACACATTTTCCCTAAAACTCACGTGCGCACAACACACCCACCCGCGGCGTCTCCTTTACAGCTCGGACGGGGCGGCCTTTTTAAGTGTCCCTGGGCAGCGAGTCAAGACTGCTCTCTGGGAGAATGTGGTTGTAATTAGATAATTAATGGGGGGCTGGAGAAGGCTAAATAGAACCCTTCCGCGGTGGGAGGAGCACGACCGCGGCTTCTGATATTTGAGCTGCACCGCCCTTCCCGGCGCGAGGCAGGCTCGTCTAGAGAAGCCCGAGAAGACAGGGCCGTCCCCCTGCGGCGATGGGTTCCGGGGTTCACCCCACATTCCCCGGGCCCGGGCAGGGGCCTGGGGCGGGTCCATTAGTCTTCTTGACCCAGAGCCGCGGCCCCCGCCCCCGTGGTGTCACCCTGACCCCAGCGGCGTCTGCTGACACGGACGGCGTTCTCAGCCACAGATGTGAACCATCTGGGGCCCAGGCTGCCTCCCACAGACCAGCGCCACCTGAGACCCTGTGCGTGCGGCTCCGCAGCTGCCTGCAGGCCCAGGTGGGGGCGGCTGGACCGGGCTGGAGCCGTTGTTCTCCCCTCCCCTGCTGTAGACCGTCCCCGGGACCTAACACAGGGCGTGAAACTTCAGTGAAAAGTCTCCAGAAAGTGAGGCAGGGGTGGGCTATCCATCCACCCACTCGCCTACTTACCCACCCAACCAGCAACCCGGCTTTCCACCCATCTCCTAAACGTTCCCCTGTCCCTTCCTCCCTCCCATCCACCCATCCATCCTGTCATGGACAGTCTGTCCACCCGCTCATGGACAGCCCGGGCCATGCAGACTCCCCGTGGAAAAAGAGCAGCATCTCTGGACCACTAGACCCTGGCAGATCGGGGACCGTGTGTGTGGGGACAGGAACACATCTAAGCGTGAACGGCCTCAGAAAACACATCTCTCATGTTCCACGTCCAGATGGAAGGGAGCTGGGCTCTGACTCGGCCAGGATGGCCGCCGAGAAACACCCTTCCCACTGCCAAGCTCCGCCGATGCTCCCACGCCCGTGGACCCTCTCTGCTTCCATGACCAGCCCAAGCTTGCAGGTGTCACCTGAGCGGGGCCCCTGCACTCAGGGTCCGCAGGCCCAGGGTTGTGGGGCAGGGTGACAGCAAGGACAGGCTGCCCCTCTCCCGGAGCTCCACGACTCAGGCCAAGACCCTGGCTCCTGCCCTGTGTGAGAAAGAGGAATCCTGTTTGAACGGCTGTGTTAAGAGGCCAAAGCCGGGCTGCTCCCCTGGGGCGCCCACTGGCTCCTGCAGGCTCTGGGCCAGGGAGGCAGAACTCACGCCCTCGGGGAAGCAGCGTTGCTATCCCCCACCCCGCCCCCCTCCCCAGGGTCTGGGCTTCAGTGATTCAGCCTGACTGGGTCTGGAGCGGCCTGTCTGCCAAGCAGTCAGCCTGAGAACAGCCTGGGGAGAGGGCGGGCGGGCCTCTGCGTGGCCAGCACTTCTCTTCTCCCCGGTGCCCTGCCCTGGGCAGACCTGCCCTGCAGACCCGGCCCACGGTGGCCAGGTGGCCCCGGGGTCCCCGGGGAGCTGCAGCAGGGAGCCCGTGTTCCCGTGGGCGGGCCTCCACGCTGACCCGCGCGGCCTCGCTCCAGGGAGGCCTTCCCAGCTCTCCTGCGTGAGTCACAGCCCGAGGCGAAGGGTTTCGAGATAGGGAGGCTGGCGGCCCTGAGTAAGCAGACAGTGGGGCGCAGCCTGCTCCTGGGACATGGGCCTCCAAGCCTGGAGCTACTTCTGCCGGCCAGTGATGCTTTCTCCAGATGTCTCCACAGCCAGCTTCCAAACACAGCCCCCTGTGGGGAGTGGGGAGCGCAGTCACCCCCCAGGGCCCCCCGCTGGTGCAGCAGGAAGTGCCTTCGGTGATGTCTCGTCAGGGACAAGGTCAGTGGTGACTTACCCCAAGTCCCCAGGCAGGTACAGTCACCCCAGAATACAGGCCGGCTGGCCCTGGGCCAGAAATGCCTCTTCCCCTGACACCTGTCCCCCGTGTCCTTGGCCAGCGGCCCTGATGTCCTCACACCGCTGACCAGTGAGAATCTGGAGACATGGCGCCCAGGGGCAGCAGCGCCAGCTCAGGAGAGCAGGGAGCGAAGGGCGGCCGAGTCACGGGCTGTGCTGGTGCTGGCGTGTCACGCCGAGCAGGCTCAGTCCCTGTCCTCACCCAGTCACAGTCACGGGGGTGGGGGCAGACAAGAAACTCTCATCACAAAAATGGGATGTGTTCTGATGACGGTGTAGCAGATGTACACCACAGCCACAACTATTTCACTATAAAATATAACTGTACGCTATCAGTGTAAGTCATTATAGCAAAATGCAATGTGTTATCATAAAGGTCTAAAAAATACATAATAGAAGCACAAAGGGGACAACAGTTAGGTCCCCAGGGGTTCGGGGGAGCTCTTCACCGCTTCCAGGGTGGGAGCTGGGTCTTCAGGGGTGTCTGGTCCCCAGGGTGTGGGGTAAAGGGCCCCTGGACAGAGGCGAGGGCCCAGGGCCCCAGGCAGGTGGGTTGGAGGAAGGTGAGTATTTGGGGGGACCCCACAAGGAAGCAGAAGCCACGCCAAGTGTGAGGGGCTCTGGCCTGATGGACCGGCTTTTCAGAGATAGCTGGGCGGGCGCGGGCCAGCTGGAAGGGAAGGCGCCCAGCGGGGCCTGGGGCGGGGCTGCCAGCAGGCGGGACAGACAACGGCGGTGCTGGAGAGTCGTCCAGGGCACTGAGGGGTTGGCAGGAGACGGCGGGGCCATGGCCCCGGGGAACTGAAAACAGACTCGAGGGAAGGCACTTTGGAGGAAAGAACAAGACCGTGCTGGGGGTGGGGGGGCACTCTAGGTGGTTTCCGGATGTCCTGAGGTCAAGTTCACTCAGCAGGACACATAGCGGAGGCCCCAGATGAGGGGCAGGGCTTCAGATGCAGGTGAGTGGGGAGACTGGCGTTAGCTCCCGCCCATGACACAGCTGGGGACGCAGACATCCCGGGGAGAGGATGTGAGATGGGCTGCACAGGAAGGGTTTGTGAAGGGCACATGCGTCGCTGGCGGGCAGTGCCCCCTGCTGGAGGGAGGACTGCCCTCCGAGCGGGCAGCCAGGACCTGGCCTTGGCCACGAGGAGTCACCGGGCCACCTTGGGAGGGCAGATCCAGACCAGCGTGGGCTGGCTCCATAGGAACAGTCTCCCGTACACGTAGAGACAGTGAGTATGCCAGGAACTGGGGCTGACGGTGGCCAACTCTCGCGCCCGGAGGGCCAGGCCCTGTGTGTTTTACGGGGAATTCTCTGAAGACTCCCCAACGCTTCCTGAAGGGGGCGCCCTCACCTCCCACGCGTTCCACAGACATACACCGACCTCCATGGGCCACAGAGCGAGAAGACGAAGACAAGAATTAACCCGGCCCCACGGGGTGCAGCAGCCCCGTCCCTCGCGGGGTTTGGGTCCTCAGGGTGTGGAAAGGGCGCTCCGAGACCGTGTCTGTGAACAGCAGGAAGGGGCGCAAACTGTCTTCAGTAGTGAGTCGGCTCTGAGTACGAGCCCCGACTACCGTGGCTGGCTCTAGTTCCCCGCATTAACCTCAGAAATGCAGACACTTCTTAAAACTCAAAACGCTTTGCAGACACAATCACACCTAAGTCTATCTTTTCAGGCACCCTTTCTGTGAAGGACCCAGAGAAAATATGCTACTTTTGAAGTATTTGCATATACCCGTGAATTCTCAGAAGAAGGCAAAAACCTCACTAAGCTCTGGAAAGAACTCTGCTGTGACCCAATCTCCAGTCCCGGCGACCTCCGGCATCCGTCCGAGAAGGACTCGACTCACTGCGCCTGGTGGTGACTCTGGGGCCCAAGGGGCCCCTCTGGGGGCAGCGGGGGAGCGCAGGCAGGTCCTCAGAGGCCCTGAACTGTCTCGGCGGCGGCGGCGGTGGCGGCCTCGGCTCGGGGAGCTGCACGCCGTCCCGACGGTTCTCCGCCCAGGGTCCAGGATGGAGAAGCAGAACTGGGTTCATTTGGGTACTTCTAAAAATGCAACATTCCTGGATCGAAACCCCACATTTGCAAATTATAGCTTACTCAAAAAAAAAACTTACAGAATTTACTTTGTTTTCAAAATTTTTTGAGTAGAAAAAAAAAAAAAGACCTGAATGACCCGTGTTTTCCCAAACCGCAAGAGTTCATGGAAAGCGACCTGCTGAGAAGGGGAGCGTGGGGGCGCGAACCTCCGGCCACGTTCCTGAGGGACGCCCGCCTGGGGGGCCGCCTGCTGGGCTGGGGGGCCCGGCACGCGCCCCGTCTGTCCCATGGGCGCCCGAGTCCACTGGCCTGACCCCTCCCATTGGGGGACGGGGGCAGGACAGCCTTTGAAGACCAAGTGGGCGCTCAGGATGCCCTTCTGTGAAAGGGGCCGGCTCCCCGCCGGCAGGTGACAGACGACCTGCCCGAAGAGGCGCTCACTGCGCGTTAAGCAGCGAACACTCTCGGGCCCAGAGCAGCGCTGGACACGAGGCCTCTGGGGCGTGCAGGACGCAGCCCTGCTCCGGGCCACACGTGCGAACCCCGCCCCGGACCGGGTGACGCGACGTGGCTCGTTGAGTAATCCCCATGCGGCCCGACTCCCTGTGGTAAACGCGGACGGAGGTTTCTCCGAAGCGTAACCGCCCCA